ACCTCACTGTTTACCCCTTTCTCCAGATCATTTATGAATAAATTGAATAGGATTTGTCCTAGGACTGACCCTTGGGGAACACCACTAGTTACCCCTCTCCATTCTGAAAATTTACCATCTTCACTTCCTCACTATCTGCCTCTTCGTCTTAGTCCCAGGCAAGAGCTGCTGTATTTCTTTAAGCTCGGTTTTTATCATAGCCTCCTGTCACCTCTCAATCCATTGTTCTTCTGCAGACCCATGGTGAGTTCACATTTTCAGCCTGCAGGAGCATTTTTAAACATCAATTCTTCTTAGCATGTGTGCAACCTGCCTCAGGTGGCATGTGACCAGGATTCATCGCCGAATTTGGTCTGTTGGTTGAATCATAAGCTCCTCTGGCTTGGGACGGACACTGATGGGGAGTTCAACGTGAACGCTGATCCGTGTGATCAATGCACACATTAAGGGTGGGATTTTCAAAAGTGCTCAGTGTCTGTATAACTCTGCTCCAATTGACATCACCATCACTCCTGAAAATCCCACCCTATAAACTATGAAAAAGCTGGAGTAGACACTTACTGAGCATGCAGACAGTTGGTTTTCTAAACGAAATCATTCCAAGGGTTTTAATTTTCAAATCTAAAATATTTAAATCTGTATCCTGAGAGGTTCTGGGCCCCTTCCACTCATGCCGTTTACAGTGGAAGTGGAGACTATTAAGCATATCAGGATTAGGACTTAAAGTGCTGGTTCATTTTACACACTGGTATGTAATAGCATGCACAACGCAAGGTGTTTTTGTGTGTGTGCGCGCTAAAATATGAACACGTTTAAAAGAAAAAAATCATGATCTCGTGGGTAGAACACTGGGCTGGTCTGCAAGATAGCTGGGTTCTTTTCATACCTTTATCACTTGTGTGACCTGGGCCAAGTCATTTCATCTTTTTGTGCCTCAGTTTTTCCATAAAATGGTATTTACAAAAACTGGTCAAAATATTTTGACAGAAAATTTTTTCCACTGAAAAATGGAGTTTCACCAAAAGTGACATTTTCCATGGGAAAATATCATTTTCAACTTTTCAAATAGGGAATGTAAAAAAAGTTTAATTTCAAATTGACATTTTAATTTTTATTTTATTTTCAAAAGCCTATTTTTAATTTAAAGTTCTCCCCCCATCTCCTCTTTTCTTTGTGACACAGAATACGATGAAACAGATTATGTAAAAAAAAATTTCTTTTCCCTTTCCCATTAACTCTTTAAAATTTCTTCAACTTTAGAAAAGTTATATACTGCCAGAGTTTCATGTTTTTCTTTTGGGATTCTGTAACTTTTCAAAGCTTTCCAAAGTAGGAGAGGATACATTGCGGAAAAGGGAAAAAGTGGGAGTGAAGGGGGCTTGAGGAACCCCTTGAGGTTTTTTATTTTATTGGACTCAGTGGCAAAAAGAGGACGGGGGAGGGGGAATGAAAATTTGATGTTTTCCAAAAAAGTTATTTGCAAAAACTTTTGAAATGAAAAATTGTTCTATTTTGAACGGTGAGAAACAAGAACTTAGACACTTTTAATTTTTTTCCAAAATTGTTTTTCTGTGTGTTGACCACTTACCCACCTGTGTGAAAAGCATGTTAAGATCTACAGATGAAAAGCGCTCTCTAGACATGATCCTGCTCTGTTGATGTCTGTGGAAGCTGAGCCATTGATTGCATACCACTTGAATCTCTGCTCAGTTTGAGCTAAACATTCAAATTAGTGTTTCTTGATGAGGTTTTGAGGCAAAGAGTATTTTTTAATAAATGAAAAAAGCCCTTTGAGCAAAAGGAACCATATGGAAATCAGAGGTTAAGAACATGTGCAATTTCTCTTCTGTTATTTGAAATGGCAACCCAGATTTCTGTTTATATGTTATCTAAGCTTTTTCCCAGATACCTAATTTGCCATTTGATGTGCAAATTCTTAACAAATTATTAGTTCTCTACATTTTGTATAGAACTATCATCAATCCTTTCTATCTCAGTTATAGAAAACTCCCATAAACATAAAACTGCAGTGTTTTGAAACTTGAAATTTGCAAATAACTTTTAAACTCATTCATTTTTTTAAAAATTGAAGTGAGTGATATTTTAAACAGATACAGTCACATCCGAGTCCCCAGTTCAGGAAGATACTTAAAGCACATGCCCAGCTTTAAGCATGTTAGTCCTATTGGCTCCATTTGAACGACTTGTGCTTAAAGTTAAGCACATGCTTAAATACCTTGCTGAATCAGGGCCTTAGTTAGGAGCGTGAATTAAATCCCAATAACTAACATTTCTCTGAAGCCCTAATCCTAGGAGATTGGGCAAAATAAGCTTTTAATTTCCAAGATAAATAGACCAAATAACTTTTGCTGACCATTGCCTTGTTTTCACATTTTCTGTATTGCTTTCATTAATATGTCAAAATATGTTTACAGTATCAATAGAATTCCAAGGTGTTACATTTCATCCAGAACTCCCACTATTTTTAACTGTGTTCCTTCATTAGCCACATATCTTCAGGAAGAAGAAAAGAAAAGAAATGTTTTGTTTTAAAGAACATAATCTGTATTCTGTCACGTACTCCATCTCCCAGGGAAGGTATCTGGGAACTTACTCTGCTATTTTTATTTATCCTGTCAGTGTAGTATATTGATGAGAGGACTAAAGTCCAGTGGTGTTAAAACAAGACATGAAATATTGATTAATTCTTTTTAAAATTCCTTTTTACTCCTGAGCATAGCAGATTTCAGATGCTACTGTCAATATAGTTCTGTCCAATAAGCCTCCGTTATCGGAAAGGTCCTGATCTTCATAGTGCTCTGATAAATGGTTATTATGATCTTAAATGGTTAGCCCAAGGTTAGTGTGCTGCTGCTGCTGCTAGAGCAGGAAGCTTGTTAGAAGCATTACAGCTCAACATGGCCGATGCTACTCTGTATTAACTGCTTTTGAATACCCACTTCAGCTCCCCATGATTTGGTTGAGAATTATGGAAAGGTTGCGTATTTCTCTATAGTAGGCAGTAGGAAAAAATTCTGCCTAGAATAACTGGAGAAACTTGGGGCGGGGCGGGGCGGGGATGGGGGAAGACAGATAAAGAGATTTAGAGAGAGTGGGAAAATGAGCCAACATCCAAAGCTGGTAATAAAGAGCACTCAGAAAATGCACAAACTACTAGAAGCAATTTACCTGCAACCTGGCAGTTGCAGCATGTAGCAACATTTCAAAGTGTAAAAAGAAATAGGACTGTAGAAAACCAAAAGGAATAATATGCTTTGAAAAGGAATATAAGTGGCTCATAGCTTACATTTCATTGTTAATACACTGGCTGAAAGGTCATATTTTAAATTATATGTCTGTAAGCCTATTTAATGACAGCACTGATAGCACCATTCCTCTGAGAGAAGAGCAAGTAAAATTAAGCAGTTTCTGATTATAAGTACATCAGTTACCAAAGTACAACACTATTCAGAGCCAGTCTGGTGAAAGATTGATAGCTTTCACTTGTCACCCTCCCTTATTTGCACATGGATACATTCTTCAGAACTAACTTATAATATTATAACACTGATTCTGGCTTCCCTGGTGGTCTCTTTGGTACACAAAGGCAGCTGAATCAGATATCTGGCATTTCTCCTGGTAAAAGAGATTTTTCTATGTAGTGTGAAGTTGGCAGAATGGCTCTACACCTCACCCAACATATAGATAATTTGGGGAGTTCCAGGAGAAGAGGCGGTGTAGCCAAAGCACCTCTTGCCACAGCAAGTCCCTTTAAGAGGGCCTTTGCACTCAAACTTAATTTAGAGCAACCCTTAGATTGCTTTAGCTTGTGATGGAGAACAGACAGGCCGCTGCCTGTGCCCAGAATCTAGGAGCTACAAAGGTGGCATACAGCCATCTTGCCCTCTCTCCTTCCCCTCACCCCACATCTTCCTGAACTGAGCTCAGTCTTAGAGCTACATTTAGCTAGCTTTGTGACTTGATGTAAACATTTACCACATGGATTTTTTATTATTAATATTTAGTTAATCTCACTAGAACTGAAAGGCACATACATTCTCTAAGAAAAGCTGGACATTAACCAGTTTGTACGCAGGGTAGAATTCACAAAGGTATTTACATGGGAGTTAGGCACCTAAGTATGTTTGTGAATCCCACCCTTAGTGCCTAGCATATTCCTTTTTATTCGAGATATTAAAGCAACATCTCCTGCTTGCTCTGCTCACGTGGGAAGTTCTGTTGACTCCCAATAGTGCTGCTTGTATGAATAATGTGAACAGGATTTGACCTTTATTAAAGAATATATATTTTCTCAAATAGGAGCCATTTGGAAACTGCGCCAGATGCTTATTCATGTGATTAGTTCTCATTCATGCAAGTGGTCCTACTGCTTTCAATGGAACTAGTTGCATGAGTAAAGGTTGCCAAACCAGACCATATTCCCTTACACTTCCCTCCCTGATACAAGTATGTCATCTCAGTGAATGACACCGTTTTATTTTTCAAAACAGCTTTTGATTCTACCAGGTGATTGTCAACACAACCTTAAAAGTTGCATTTTGTGTGTAAACTTACAATATTCATGTAACATTCATGACATTGTAGTGATAGTTCTTGTGTATATGAAGATGTATGTGTATATATAGGTGGGTACACACATCCCTTTTAATTTGACTTCTGGCAGTGATGGTTATCTGTCATCTATTATGCTACATTAATTTGGCTTTCAAATGTACAAATAAATTACTTTCCACCTTACGGGACATGAGTTGTTTGATTTCAGATATTTAGCATATGGTTTTTCTTCTGTGGGCTGTAGCCTGAGGCCCCAACCTGGAAAGAACGAGAGAACACCTATAACAATTCAAAATAATTGTATATCGTTGACAGATTGTCAAGTTGCTTAATGCGTTTTGGCCCAGGTAACAGTGATATTTCTTTGATAAAGTGTTAGTAATTTCTCATTGCAATTTGTTGTGTTTGGTGTTGTGTTTTTACAGAGTCCAGTCAGGTTCATATCTCAGCACTGGGTGGTTTACCTTAATTCTGGCTATGGACGCCTGCTATGGAATTCATGTCTATGGGATGATAAATGACACCTACTGCAAGTAAGATCACAGGAAATTATTTTCATGCATCTACAATTCTGATATCTTGTCCAAAAATTCACAATTCATTTTAATATCATAAATCTGAAAAATGGATTAGGTATCCATTTCCCAGTGTTCTGCATTGATGTGATGCTATATTGTCAGTGTATTTAGTTCCAATATGATAAAATAAAAAACATGTATTAAACTTTAATGTCAAATGTCATAAGGAACTTTTTTAATCAAAGACTTTCTGCAGTCTCGGAGTTAGCTGGGAAATGGAGAACATTTTTGCTCTTTTGACAAAGTGTACTTGTTTTCACTGCTCAAACATGTCTATATAAGAAATATTAATCTATTAGCTCACAGAATACCAAATGCTCTTGGAAATGAGGAACTGATTATCTCAGGATGGTTACCTGAAACTATATTACATCACTAAATGAGCAACCTGTCTGAACTTTATTTCTAGGTATATATATGGTCTGCTTGAGTAGCTGGGGGTTTCTCACTGGAAAACAAAACAAGTCCTCTGAGCTTTATCAGGGTAGTGTGACAAATTCCTACCAACAATTGTTGGTGATCCAGCATTGTCATACATCCTATTCTATTATCATAAGTGCAACCACAATCTTAAAAATCCAAATCAGATATTTTTAATCTATAGCATAAAGATAATGGAATATATAATAGACGTGTTGCTTATTCACAAAAGCAGGAAATTCAGTCAAGTGATGTAAAATAATAAAGCAAGCCACATTTTATGTTAGCGGGGCTAGTTCAAGCAAACCCTCTGTAACCATTTGATTGGGTGTACAACTTCTACCTATGCCCACACCCTTGTCATTCTCTCTGCTCCATACTGGACAGCTCAATGCTCATTGACACCAGGACATGGAGAAAGGAGTTAATGCTCCAAACTTGGCTCTTTAAAGTTAGGCACCTACATAAGAGGATGATTTTCAGAACTCACAGCTCCTGGTAAATGACCTAAACAACATTGTGGAAGGTTACACTCTCAGCCGGCAAGCCCCCTCAGGGCTGGGCATGGCATGACAGCTCTTTCCTGTCTAGCATCCCCTGCCAAAGGTTGAACTGGTTCTGCGGTGGTTCACCTCTTCTTGCAACTCAGCCCTCTGGCCAGGTCACTTTAAAGTCTCTCCCCTTCCAGAGTAACAGAAAATATAACTAAAAGTCCAGAAACATCCCAACACAAAAGATCCTTCTGCCCTCTCTTGGGCTATTACTCAGCCCATCCTTGAAGCTGTCTTGCTCTCAGACCAACCTTGGACTTAGTAGTCCTTACCTTGGCCTTGTACACCCCTTCCTCAGGGCTAGCAGGGGAATGTAGGCTCACCCTCTGCTCTGGGTTCTAGCCCTGGGACCCTGTATTAAGCAACTAGGTCTGCTTCTTCAGACATACTGCTGTTTTCCTGGGCCACTTCCTACCTCTGAGCCCCTTGCACTGCTTCCATGTAGCCTGTGCTTAACGCAGTCTCTCAGGCCTCTGACTTCTCCCTAGGTCTTTCCAGCTTATTTTTTCCTCTGATGGAACACTGACCCCTCAGGATTCCCTCTCTGTGCCTTTCCCAGGCTCACCACAGACATTAATGCTGTCCCCAAGCCCTTCTTCTGCCTGCCTGCCTGCCTCAGGCCCTTCCAAGAGAGGGGAAACTCCCTATCTTCTCTCTCTTGGGTCCCTCAGCAAGACCTCACTTCCTCCTTTTATGAAGAAGATCCAGCTCCTTCCCAGCTGGAGCTAATAACAAATCAAGCCTGACACACCATGCAGATGCAGCAAAGTGGGCTAATTGGCTGTCAGCCTCCTGTTAACCTTTGATTCAGCTGTGTGGTAGACACCACATCACAGTCATCCAGACTGAAAGGAGGTGTGTTGTTCTTTGGAAAACATTACAAAGGCCATGAGAAAAAGAAAGACATAACTCAAGTTTTTCATAGATTCCAAGGCCGAAGGCACCATTGTGATCATCTAGTTGGACTTCTTGTACAGCAGAGGCCATAGAACTTCCTCAAAATAATTCCTGGAGCAGATCTTTTAGGAAAACTTACAATCTTGATTTTAAAATTGTCAGTGATGGGGAATCCACCACAACTCTTGGTATATTGTTCCAATGGTTCAATACCCTCACATTTCCACCTTAGTTCCAGTCTCAATTTGTCTAGCTTCAACTTCCAGCCATTGGATCATGTTATACCTTTTTTTGCTAGATTAGAAAGCCCATTATTACATATTTATTCCCCATGTAGATACTTATAGACTATAATCAAGTCACCCCCTTAACCATCTCTCTTTTAAGCTAAATAGATTGAGCTCTTTGAGCCTATCACTATAGGGCATATTTTCTAATCCTTTAATCATTCTTGTGGCTCTTCTCTGAACCCTTTCCAATTTATCAACATCCTTCTTCAATTGTGGACACCAGAACTGGGCACAATATTCCAGTGTGGTCACACCTGTGTCAAATACAGAGGTCAAATAACCTCTGTACACCTATTGAAGACTCCGCTGTTTATGCATCTGAGGATCACATTAGGTCTTTTGGCCACAGCGTCAGATTGGGAGCTCATGTTCAGCTAAATATTCACCAGGACCCCCAAATCGTTTTCAGAGTCATTGTTCCTAGGATAGAGTCCCCCATCCTGTAATTATGGCCTACATTCTTTGTTCCTAGCTATATACATTTACATTTAGCCATACAAAATGCATATTATTTGTTTGCACCCAGTTTACCAAGAGATCCAGATCGCCCTGTATCTGTGCCCTGTCCTCTTCATTATTTACCACTCCACCAATTTTTGTATCATCTGAAAACTTTATAAGTAATGATTTTGTTTTCTTCTAGGTCATTGATTCATTGATTAAAATGTTAGCGCGTAGGGCCAAGAACTGATCACTGCAGCACCCCATTGAACACAGGCCCACTCAATAACAATTCCCCATTTACTGTTACATTTTGAGACCTATACATTAACCAGTTTTGAGTCCAATTTAATGTGTGCCATGTTAATTTTATATCATTCTAGTTTTTAATCAGAATGTTGTGTGGTACCATGTCAAATGCCAACATATTGATGTATATTACATCAACACTATTATGTTTAATAGGCAGCGGGTTTAAAACAAACCTGTCCTTAACTCTGCTGGCCATAGAGTTCTCCTCGTGTCACTTTACTTCCCTTATCAATTTTCTACATGCCCTAACTTCTGATTTATATTCTTTACTATCAACTTCCCCTTTCTTCTATTTGTTATATATTTTGTTTTTATTATTTCTTATTGCTGCTTTCACTTCCACTCTAAACAAAGTTGTCCTCATAGAGCTCAGCCAGTACTCCTTGCTACACAGCCCTGGCATAGAATCAGTAAACAGCACAGTAACATTTCACCGTGTCCCTGATAGGGTGGGATGGGGTTTCCCTATAGGTGCAGTTCTGGCTGCATTGCCTGATTAGAAGATATTTTGTTTGTTTTAGCTTAATCACTTTCTAAGAACAGCAGAGCAAGAAAGATCCCCCTCCTCTTTTGCTTGCTAATATCAGCTGCCCTGTGCCCTAGTCAGACAACCCAAGGGCCTGTTGTGGGGACTAGGACTACACAATGAGAGCCTTCCATTTAGAGATACTGACACATTGGCTAACTTTTGCAGTAGGACAACCCTGGGGTAGTGTCCTCTAGGCCCTGACCATAATCCTATACTAACTAGTAAGGCCAATGTATCTTAAGGACTTGTATTTATTTATTTGATCTATTAAAATGCACACAAACCATACTGTGCATATACTATAATGGAAAGATTTCTTACACGATAGCTTTTAATGCAGTCCAGATACAAGACACATGGATGGGATTCCAATGAATACAATTACAGTGTATATAATGGATTTCCTGGAAAATGTGTTAACATGTATCTGTGTTTTGTTTTCTTTCCCAGGTCTGAAGCCTTTCGAAAGGTCCCTTACCATTATTATGAGCCAGGAAGAGATGAATGTGATGAGTACTTTCTGCATGAAAATGCTCCCTATGGAGGTCATAGGTTTATCACAGAAAAGAAAGTATTTGCTAAATGGGCCAAGAAGCACACAATAATATTTACACACCCCAACTGGACACTGTCTTGATATTGGTTCTTCTTTAGCAGCATAATATTACAAAAATGCCTCAGTTTACAATGATCTTGCTTACATCTGACGGACTTTCTCACACTAGATAATCTAAACTAAAACTCAATGATAGAGAAATTGATGGATCAGTTGTTAAGCAAAACTTACCAATTTGTGGAAGGCAGATGAGTTGCTTATTTTATCACTAAGGGTTATATACTACATAATGCACTTTACATTTTAACTGCATTTTAATTCAAGACAACAGCCATTTCCAGATAGCAGTGATTTCATGTTATATACAAGCATGCCCACGGAGTGGTGGCCTTTAGAAACTTTCCAGTTGCCTTAGGTAATTAAAATGACTATTTGCAGTTAGTTAACCTCAAGATTTGCAGTACTAAAGGTAACTTCCTATAGGCAAATATAAGGGAAGATAGTAGATTCTGAGGTAACTGTATTTATTTGTCTTACATACAACTGGATAAATTTTAAGGACCACCAATGTGGCAGTATGTATATACTTTCACATGCATCCACACTCACTGGGTGTGCTAAAATTAGAGATGGGGTAAATAATGATTCCTGAACTATAGATAACACCCATGTGCAAAGATATTCATAGCTCAAAGGCCCATAGGTAACACAGAAGCTCTGGTTACCTACTTACACCTCTACCTTGATATAACGCGACCCAATATAACACGAATTCGGATATAACGCGGTAAAGCGGTGCTCCGGGGGGCGGGGCTGCGCACTCCGGTGGATCAAAGCAAGTTCAATATAACGCGGTTTCAGCTATAACATGGTAAGATTTTTTGGCTCCCGAGGACAGCGTTATATTGAGGTAGAGGTGTACTTCCATATTGGTTGGCTTCCATCATCTTGAATGATGTAATTCATCTGGACACCATCTCAAATTGTAGTATTTTTGGAGGATGACGTTCCAGCATCCACCAACATTAGTTCACTTTTTGGGACATCACCCTAAATTGTACCTGGTTTTTGAAACAATAGCTCTACAAATGGTGTAAAAACATGGTGGTGGATGGGGGACACCTAGGGATACGAGAACAGGACTTGGAGCACAAAACTCCTGAGTTCTGATCCCAGTTTTAACACCGAATCCCTTGCAGCCTTGGACAATTTGTTTCACCTTTCTGCCTCAGTTTTTCCACCTTTAAAAATGGGGATAATACTTATCTACCTCACAAAGGTCTTGTGAGGATTAATTAATGTCCATAAAGTGTTTTGAAGGTGAAAAATGATATATAAGCATTTATTATTATGGCAACGCCAATGGCACTTGGCATAGCCAACATACAAGAATGTATTTGAGGAAAGTGACAGCCGTGTCTGGGTCTGATCCTGCAAGATGCTGTGCCCCTCTTTTTATATTGTGTGTTCTTCCTAATGCTGAGTTCCCTCCACTTTCAGTTAAAGTTGAGGGTTCTCGGCGCCTCACAGGATTATCGCATCAATGGGATAGCTCTTGAGTTTTTATACTTGCCCATCTCTAATTCAAATACACTGTTCAAAGTGAACCATCATTTATTTCAACTGCAGCAGAACCATTTTTAATTTGAAAATAATTCAACTAAACATGTGACCTTTTTTACTGTATTTAAATTGATGTTTAAGTCTCTTTCCATTTGAAACATTTCCTAAAAACGTTTTAGCACCTGGAATGTCAGCTTCAACACTGTAATAACCAATACTGTGAAACTTGAAAGAAGTGTGTGTGGTGCACTCACACTATTTAACAGGAAACTTTGTATGCTTTTATAAATCATGAAAAGGGGAAAGGAAAACCCTATTTTTACATGTTGCAGTGTTGTTCTAGCCGTGCTGGTCCCAGGATATGAGAGAGACAATTACCTCACCTTTCTTGTCTCTATTTTTACATGTAAGTATTTGTATACTGACTGAATTGCCTAATGTATATTTGTATATGTAAATCTATATTTGATATGTCCGGAGCATATATTCTTCTTCAACATCATTAAGTGCCACCCTTCTGTAATGAAGAGGAAACGCCATTCCCCTTTGTTGTTGAGAGTGATGTCCGTGTTTCTTCTTTGTTTCCCTTGGACTATGCCACTGGCTTTTTCCATTGCCGCATCTTCCTGATGGTTTTTAAAATACATGAGCTTTCTCCTCTTATTACCTATTGTGTGCCATAGGTGTGCCTGGTTCGTGGCAGGCACAACCCTGATGGGCTTTTGGTTAAGGCACTGGACTAAGCCTCGGGTGATTTAGGTTCAATGCCTGGCTCTGTCACAGGTCACTTGATCTCTCTCTGCCTCAGGTCCCCATTTGCAGAATGAGAATTATCACATTTCCTTACCGCATATTTTGTCTGTCTTTTTCTTTGACTGCAAGCTTGTCAAGCCAGATACTGTCATGCACAATGTGTCTGTACAGCACCTTGCACAATGGGGCCACAATCTCAATTGGGGCCTGTAGACACTTACATAATATACAAATAATAAAAATAATTATTAAAATGCCTCCTCTCCCAAGGGTTTAAAATCTATTATAGACCAATACAGCAAGGGCTGAAAGAAAGCAAGGATGGGGAAAGGGTAATGTAAGGATGAAGGTTGCAGCTGTGAGCCCATGAACTAGATTTGCTATGTGCATACATATCTTGTCAATTTGAATGGATAGATAGAAAGTTAATAAAAGGAGCTGCAATGAGGGATTTAAAGGAAGAACAAAGGATACTGGGCACACTGCGCTATGGGGGATGTTCTCTGCATACTGCACAAGGGCAACATGGGGAAATGTGTAAAGTCACTCGTGGGGAAAGGAACCCAAAGGGTGAACATCAGGCGAGACAAGGTGGCAGAATTAAAAGGGTTAATGGGGAAGAAGGGGTGACTAGTGATGAGATAAGGGCAGAAATTGTGCATGTGGGTGAGAGGAGCCTTCATGGGAGAGAAAATCTTGCATGACAGGTCGTAGATTCCTCAGATCAGTAGCCTACAATTCTTCTACAATATACACTTTGGCAAAATGCCCTCCATCCTCTCTCTCAAAAATATAAATTTTTTTCCCACAATAAGGACAGAATAAAGACCTGGGTGATCCTTTATCCACATGTGGAAAGGACAATATTTCAATATCATTCCAGCATAAAGGCAAGATAGTTTTAAGCTGATTGGAACTTGTTCAGATCAACATAAATCTGTTGTAAAGTGTGTGAAGCCTTATTCTTAAAAATAAACAGGGCCAATGCAAATATTTAATACAATTATACAACATCCTCCAAGAGTAATCAGGACATCCCACTCACCAATCCACAAATAGTGTTTTACATTAATATAAAAAACAGGAGACCTAAACTGGTTTAAAATTTGCAGTGTGTGTTTACAGATAGCGGTTAACACACATTCTGCTACAGAAGGCCAATCTTTGGCATGTATTCAGTTCTGACTTTGCATTCTGTTCAGCATTTACAGTATATTATATGGGGAAAAGGTGCAGCATGGCTTAGTGGATACGGCACTGGATTGGGACATAGGAGAGAGAGGGTCTAATCACTTCTGTGCTATTGCCTGGATGTATGACCTTAGGCTAGTCACCACTCTATGCCTCAGTTTCCCCATCTGGAAAAGGAGGGTCATGATACTGACCTTTATACAGCACTTTGAGATCTACTGATGACAAGTGCCATGTAGGAACTAGGTGGTATTATTTCTTTACTGACTATAGAGTTTCTACGGAAATGTTCACTGACATTCCCCTATCCCTGTACGAATGGGAACTAAGGCAAAGCATTTCAGTGTGTTCTTAGGTGCATTGCTGAAGAGGGATAGAGTTAAAAACAAGCTTATGTCCCACTGAAGTCATGCATGTGCTTTGCTCATTAGGAATGAACTGCTAAATTGGGGCCTAAATGGGGGAGTTTGGTGAGCCTAAGGCTACCAACCAGTTTCTCCCTAAAAATTAATACTATTTTCTCTGCTATCATTGGAAAATACACCACAAATGTTTTTAATCTGTATTTAAAAAAAACTTTTCTAAAGAGGAAATTATTCTAAAGTTAATGGAATCTATTGTAGCTCTTTATGGAATATTTACAAGCTGTATGGAATGGCTCATCAGACTTTATCATGTGCAATGCCCAGTTAGATAAATACATCTCTAGCAGCAGCTAAATGGGTAGCAGAATTACAAACCTCATTAGACTGCAGTTGTCACAAAGCAAACTTGGAAGTGTTGCTACCTGCTTGTAGTAGGATCCTTGAATTTGCAGGTTGCGAAAAACCACATTGAAACCACATTAGAAACATTACATCAAGCTTCATGCACACCAGAGTAAATGAACATCACTTCCTTTATTTAAATGAGCCTGTCTTTAGCATCAACTAAATGCAATTTTTCATTATTTTTATTATATGGGTAACGAACTGTGACCATTGTGTTAAACATGATTGTGTTAGAAATCAGCACTGCAGTGTGGAAAAAAGAATTTTGTTGTGTGACTGTGTTAAGAGACTTTGATCATTTACCTTCTGAGAGCAGTTAGGACAGCAGTTCAGAAACATTTATTCATTTAAATAAGGACTACTACAAATTACCTGACCTTAATTAGATGCTATTTGCTTACTTTATTTGAGGACCCCTATTTTAATCAACTGCTCGTGTGAGTAAAGAAAGTAAGCAGTTGACCTGTAGACTTCAAATAGTTCTCCGAGTTATATTTGGTACAATGATATTCACAAATAATTTGGCAGTGTTTTTGCCATCTGTCATCAAATAAGTGAAACACAAATATTTGTATCTTAATTCAGTCAGCTGCTAGATCGTTAAATATTTGTCAAATGTATTATTTGTGAATACTTTTTATTCGTGTCAGATAAGTAAATTTGCATTCATTGTCTGACCAGCTATAGTCCTAACTTAGATAAAAGGTTAAAATATAGGACACATTTATTTTGCATACTTTCTGTGTGGCCTGTAGAGCCGGTTAACAGTTTTCAAAAATGTTGACATTGTCTTGGAAAAAATTGGGGCAAATATTTTCACAAAATGTTTTCCATTTTTATCCATCTCTAGTTGCACGTTACATAGCTACAGGTATGTAACTTTGATACATTTAGATGATGTTGCAATTGCATATGATGTTGTGTGTCAAGTTGAATAATGTTTTCCAGTCAATCTCTGGAAATTGGCCCTGACCTGCTCACTCCTCCCGTCCCACCTGCCAAGGCTCCAACTTTGCCGCTTGTAGAGGAGTGCGCAAGGTACAGAGGAGAGAGGAGATGGTTC